GGGGGGGGCAGGTCGTTGATGTGGGGATCACCTCATCTCCATGGGGACACCTCTGTGGGGACACCTCACCTCCATGGGGACACCTCTGTGGGGACATCCCACCTCCAAGGGGACATCTCACCTCCACGGGGATGCCATGAGTGGGAACACCTCGTCCTCATCTCCATGGGAACGTCTTTGTGGGGAGATTTCACCTCCATGGGGACACCTCTGTGGGGACATCCCACCTCCGAGGGGACGCCTCATCCCCATGGGAATATTCTTCAGGTATTGGGGTGCCCGAAATCAGGGTGCAGCGCAGATTGGGGTCCCCACGCCCCCCCTGACCTCCCGGTGCCCCCCAGGGATGACGTGCCAGGCGCGCAGCTCGTACCTGGCAGATGAGGTGCTGTGGGGTCACCGCTTCACACCGCTGCTCAGCCTCGAGGAGGGGTTCTACGAGGTGGACTACGGGGGCTTCCACCACACGGTGCCCGTGCCCACCCCAGCCTGCAGCGCCCGCCAGCTCGCCGCTGCCGCCGCCCGCCGCGACGCCCACCTCTACTGGTCCATCCCCAGCCGCCTGGACGAGGCGGCGGCGGCGGGGGGCGAGGGGGACCCCGAAATCCCCCGCGAGAGCAACGGCACCTTGGCTGGCCCCGAGGAGCGGTGATGGGCTCCAGAGCACCCCCGTGTACAATAAATGTCCTGTCCCTCCCCATTCTGGTCGTTCTGGTGGTTTTGGGGTAAGGGGGCCGGATTTAGGTCACCCCCCGGGTTTGGGGGCTGAGGGGGACCCCGAAATCCCCCTGGAGAACAAAGGCACCTTGTCCAGCCCCAAGGTGGGTGATGGGCAAGGTCCGGGCAACAAATCTCCCCTAATTCTGATGGTGGAGGTGGTTTAGGGGGTGCGGGGGGTGGATTTGGGGTGTCCTCGGGCTCGGGGGGTATCAGTCCAGTGGACCACTGAGGAATTTGGGGTGAAAGAGTGGTGGGCAGAGCCCCCCAACCCCAGTTCCTGCAGGGATCAGTGCCGAGGTGGGGGAGGACACACATCACCCCCTTCTCATCCCCCCGTGTCCCCACGGGACCCCCCGGCTGCTGGGGGGGCTCTGGGGGAAAGAAAGCCGAGAGAGGCCGAGAGGAGCCGAATGAGGCCCAAAAAAAGCCGAAAGAAGACGATAAGAGCCGAACGGAGCCGAAAAAAGCCGAACGAAGCCGAGCGAAGCCCAGCGGGGGCCGAGCGTCTCTCTGGCCACGCCCACCCCTCTGGCTCCACCCCGGCCCCGCCCCGTCTCACGTTGAGGGGGTCGGGGGTGCAAGAACTGCTCCTCTGCCCCCCAGAAAAGGGACATGGGGGTCCCCTCGACCCCTCACGGTCCCCCCCGAGCTCTCACACGCGTGTTGTGTTCACATGTGTGTTGTGTGTTCACACGCGTGTTGTGTGTTCACACGCGTGTTGTCCCCACCCGTGTCCCCCCCTTGTCCCCCCGGTGCCACATTCCTGCCGCCCACGGGCAGCAGCTGCGCGGGGCGAGGGGCGGCGGGACACGGGCAGGGAACTGGGGGCACTGGGAGGGACTGGGAGGGCTGGGGGGAGAGGGGAAGTGGAGGGACTGGTGGGACTGGAGGAACTAGGAGGACTAAGGGAGCTGGGGGAATTGGGAGGACTGGGGGAACTGGGAGGACTGGGGCGTGGGCGGGTCCGCGGGACCCCCGTGGGGCCGGTCCCGTCACGGGGCCCCCGAACCCGCGTCATCTGTTTGTTCAGCTTGGGGGGCAGCGGGGGGGACAGCGGGGGGGACAGCGGGGAATGGGGTGGGACA